CCTAACAGAATACATATAGCAGTCAAGAAAAGGGATTAAAACTACAAGCAACACCAACTATTTTATGTGTTGTCCTTAAGCATCATCTCACCCAACCTCCTAAAATCACTTTACTGTTCCTCTACATTGCCTGAGCCGCTCAGCGCTGAACTGCAATGACTTTTTTTTCTGAGGTAGTTTTTAATCTCCTCACATCATTGGCATTTTGTTTAATCCATAGGCTATGTTTGGCCTTTTCATCAGAATGCGTCCAGTTTCAGGCATGACGAGATTAAATTAGATTATTCATGAAAGCAGACCTTTGTGTTTTCCAGCCTCTTCACATGTTCACTGCGAGGGAATTAGGCCATCGGATCGACCCGCTCCCTCTTGTCCTTACATTACACCGTCCCTGACTGTACATATGTCGGCGGGGGCAGGAGGAACGGAGCTATTCGCTTCGCCTTTTCTGGCTGCGCAGGCTTCCGTAGAGACGCTTCAAACGTGGCTGCCTCCGTGTGCTAACGTGAGAGTAAACTGATTCTGAGCGTATACGGTAGCATCAAAACTAGAGACAACACATAACCTGTATTGTTTTAAGAATAAAACTGGTAGAGTAGAAGACCGGTATCCGCCCAGAGGTGGTGTCACAGGTAAAACGGTTTGCCGCTACTTGTTTAGCCTAGCTGTTAGCTAACAACACGCTAACTTAGCTGGCATGATGTATCAGCAGTTGTAGAGCTTCAGGTGCATTTTAGTGTTGTGTTAGTAGTAGACGCGTTTTTCCATTCATCAGTTTAATCCAAAGTAACATTTTTTGCTACTTTTGCATAATACTGCTGTTTTGAAATGCCAATTCACGTTCACTGTATCGAAAGATAAGCTAAAAGAACTGAAGGCGAGTTAAAGGTAAAGTCAGAGTTGGTTAAACGACCTAAAACTAAAATAGACTAATCGATCAGCTGTCGAGTCGTTTCTGCAATAGAGTCCATTCAGGGATTAATAACCAATAATAAACAGCACTTCTCAACAACTGGGTGCAGGATTGGCTCCATGACTGATGCCATTGTCCACCTTACAGACAGTATAACCATCCTCTTGTGCCTCCATAAGTAGCTGTCCCAAAAATTCTACTTCAGAATACTGTGCTCACCTCTAAGTAATATCAAACCATACCATACCAACTTTATTTATAAAGCACTGAAACAACCGAGACGGACCAAAGTGCTGTACAGTGTGATTAACAAACTACCTTAACTGAAATCTGTCAGCACCAGACCTCATGTCATTTTCTCAAACAATGCAAACAAAGAGGAGTCAGACTTTCATGTCATTTAAAATATCTCGTTTCTAACATTTAAAAGACATAATCATAATTCATGAACGACTTGGTGGAATATCAGTTTTATCCATACAAAAACCAAATAAAACATTTCTCCTGTAGTGATCTGTATGAGCCTCTGGGTAAAATGTAAGCCTCAAACTTTCCTTTGTGCAAAATAAACGGACTTGCATTCAAGAGTGAATCACTTTTTCCACTAATTGTCGGAGTCTGGGCCACTGTTGACGTTTTTTAAAAGTCATTTGTCAGATTTCACGTGTTGTATTTGTCTTTTTCCAGATACCTTTATGCTGGTGCAGTCAGCTCGACCGTTCGGCCTCATCGTCTCCCATAGCCTGCATCGTTCTTGCACCTGTCGTCCCAGACAGACGTTCCACTGGTGGTTACGCAGTGCTGTTGATGCTGCTGCTGCTATCAGCAGGGCACTGAGATCCATGGAGCCCCTAAAAGCTGTTGAGGACTCCAAGGTCCCCACCACCAACCGTCCACCTACATCTACCGAATCTCCAGATGAAGACTTGAGCCCATCCCCCACAGACACAGCATCTGACAAGGGGAAGACGTCTCCTGCAGATCTGTTGCCAGGAGAAACAGTGGTCAAGGAGGGCAAGGCGGCCATCTTGTTCCCCAGTGCCAATGAGGTGTTTTATAACCCGGTCCAGGAGTTTAACAGAGATTTAACGTGAGTATGAACGATGATTGCTTCACTCTCGAGGACTTGCTTACTTGAACTTCAAGGACACAAAATCACTTCCTCTGACAGCCAATCAGACAAAGTGCAGGTCAGAGTCTCCTCCTATGAAGTGGAGTACAGATATCTGTCAGCAGGTCATCCCTTTGGCACAATCCATTTTATAGTATACATTATACAATATGTTGTTCTTGTTTTTCCTGTTGGGTTAATGAAAAATGAAGGGACAACCACACACACTCACACTCACTCCTAGGGCCCATTCAGAGTCGCCATTCAACCTAAGCTGCATGTCTTTGGACTGTGGGAGGAAGCCAGAGTCTGAAACAACATAGGGGTTTGAAAATTAGAGGAAAATCTTTGCTGTCAGCAGGGCAAATCACTTTCAGTTAGTCTCATATCATAACTTTTGATTCTGCAGCCATATTTTCCATTGCTGGCCAGGCCATCCCTGGTTTGAATTGCATGGTCGTAGTTGTGTTTAACAGTCACACAGTCACAGTGTGCCACAAGTCAGCCCTTCAAACAAGAACCTACAGAACATTATTACTATTTATTAAATAATCTGTGTCCAAAAATGTGAAGTTGTCTGATGCTTTCTGAAGCCTTTATATAAGAGATTCTTTTCATCTTTAACTTTCCAGATGTGCTGTAATCACAGAGTTTGCCAGAGATGTGCTGGCTCAGCGTGGGGTGAAGGTGGTGGTGCCAGGAGAGAAAGAGAGGATGGTGGTCTCCCTGTCAGAAGAGAAGAACGAGGCCGACGTTCAGACAGAAGAGAAGAACGAGACCGACGTTCAGACAGAAGAGAAGAAAGGTTCAGAGGAGCCACCTGTAACTGCAACAGTGGGGGAGAAATGTGAGGTATGTGTCCTAGATTTTACAATGTAACTGCAAAGTAGCAGATACTACTGCTACAGTTGTCTACGAATGAATTTATTTTGTAGTATTTATGTGCAGCACATCCGATTTAAGTGAATATTTGTTAAATTATTTCTGTCAAAATATGTTTTTCATGTCTTATGAAAATTGAACATAATTGCCAGTATTATCACAATATAATTTGAAATAAGGTTCTAAAATACATAAGGCACAAAATACAAATTATACAAGTACAACACTGATATAATTATAGCTGAGGGTTGAAGACGTCAGGAAGAAAAGCTGTTGCAGTTGGAGTAGCTAATGGGGATCACAAATAAGTGTACAAAACTGGATATTAACTAAAAAAAAAAAGAAGTCAGATCCATCTGTCTCATGCAGCTGCTGCATCCCTCCGTTTTTGGTTCTGTAGGTTGAAGCAAGCCATAATCAGAATCAGTGCTTTGC